TTCGCCATCACTGGTCTAAGTGCTATTACTATTAATATTGATATTGGGTTTTATTTTTATTTTATACTGTTCTGCTTCCCAAGGAATGCAGTGCATTACACCAACAGGATAATAAAAATCCTTTCAATAAACTGTTTCTGCGACCATGAAAAACAAAGATATACAATTAAAATAAAAGTTATTTTTAAAAGGCAGTTGAAAAGACTAATCCTAGAGAAGCTGTCACCCTACAAATGGCTGGGTGAACAAACACATCTTCACTTGTCATTTAAAACAAGGCAGCGTGGGAGCTAGTCATGCTTCCTTCACGAACTAGCCATCTCAAAACCAACTGAGGAGAAACTTTTGCAGAAACTTTTCAATAGGAGGCTACTTATTCAATCTATATCAAGGTAGATATTTCCGAGCACCTTGAACGCATCTGATTTCCCCCAAATAACACAAACTTTTCCTCTTATGCAAAGAATGTTAATGTAGGTGGCTCAGTGGCTAAGATGCTGAGCTTGTTGATCAGAAAGGTCAGCAGTTCAGCTGTTCGAATCCTTAGTATAGGTCTCCTGCGTGAGCAGGGGTTTGGGCTAGATGACCTCCAGGGTCCCTTCCAACTCTCTTACTGTTATATATGTGCAATGGAATGTACGGGTGACCTTGGGCATCCTAGGCACTGCTGCCTTGGAATCAGACATGAGAGACAGGAGACACTGCTCTGACCTAGAACAGGCTCCCTTAAAAAGCAGGAAGCAGGAATTGGTCCCGGCAAAACCTCTTTTATTTACACGACTGTGAATTCCTTTCATTCACAGTCAGCAAGGTTTGTCCAAACAGTTTTTCAAAGGGATATTTCTCAATACACCTTATCTCGCTTGGCAAGCTGCCATGTAACTTGTTTCCAAATGCAGAATAAGGCAAAACTTGGCACAGAGTCACAAACAGTACTCTTGGAACTACCAAATGAATGGTTTCCTGCAAAAGCCCCCTCACCGTTGGCTCCTCTTTTGTTTCCTATGGGAGGGGGCCAATCACCTCCAAGGTGTGGCTTTACTCCTAAGTCGACCCTGCTTTCTGAGTTGTTCTTGTCCTCTGGCAGCTCTGCACATGTGCACATTGAGAACAGGCTCCAGCTGTTCCTCTGCTTCACTGCTGTCTATCTCCCTCTCTGCCTCCAACACATATCCCTCATCCAAGCTTTCCCCAGCCCTCAGGACTGGCCCATGTTCCTCCCCAACCTCCTCACTATCTGACTCTGCTGCCAGCTCTGCTGGCTGCCGGCGGGCCACAACAGATGCCCGAGGCTTAACTATCAGAGAAAAAAAAAAACTTAGGAAGGGCTCACCGTAATAGATCTAGTGGTTAAAAGTAATAGAACGAAATTTGCACCTTCAGACTTGCAGGAACAGATGGGGCCCGTCCCCGATGCACGTATGCGTAGAGAGGAAAGGAGAGGAGAGCAAAGGAAAACAATAAGCCGGCCCGCAAGGAAAAGCAGACGTAGACGCTAGCCAGCCCCTCCCTGGTTGGGAGAAGCCGGTTGTCGCGGACAACCATTCGCTTTTAGGATAAAGCAAGCAATTCGGATTTCTTGGCCAGGTCTGTTGGAACTAATTACGTTTGCTTTTTGTTTAACCATGTGAACATAAAGACACTTCTTACCTTGTTTGAAAAGGGGTTTGTTTTTACTCACAAGTAAGCGGCTTAATCATTACTTGCTAAGGCTGGATCAAAACAGTTAAGTTTGCAACTTGTGGCAGGTTCTAAAAGCTTTATCAGTATACTGTACTTGGCAAAGGTTTAGATTCAACTATCTAAAAACATCTTGCTTGAACCAAGTCAGTTCTAGCAAGAGGAGACTCAAAATTTATAAAATATTCAAAATTTTGAGAAGTCAATCTCTTCCAAATTCTGCAATAACTCACTGAGATAAGAACTGAGAAGACTCATGGGAGTACAGAGCATGAAGCAATTGGGAAGCGGAAAGCCATGAACCCAAGTATCACAACTTATCGGTTGAATGACACTCTGACCCACTCCTGGACATTTTATATCCCATGGGCCACATCTTACCCGCAGGTTGTCCCACGCCGGCATGCAGCATTAGATGAGGCATCAGCAGCAGCAGAGGATGGGGCAGGACAGCAGAGGGCAAGGAGGCAGTGCAGCATCGGAGTGGGGCAACAGCAGCCCTTCACAAGAGTCCGAGTTTCTCACTGTGACCCCCTGGGAAAAATTAATTACCTACTCCTTTTTTCTATCCTCTAACCTGGCCAAGGACTAGAGGTGGTCCTCAACTTACAACAGACCATTTAGTGACCGTTCAAAGTTACTATAGCAGTGAAAAAAAAATGACTTATGACCGTTTTTCACATTTATGACCGTTGCAGCATCTCCATGATCGCATGATTTACATTTGGATGCTTGACAACTGACTCACATTTATGACGGTTGCAGTGTGATCCCTTTTGGCAATCTTCTGACAAGCAAAGACAACGGAGAAGCCAGATTCACTAAACAACCATCTTACTAATTTATCAATTGCAGTGTTTCACTTAACAAATGACGCACCTACCCTTTGGAATCAACTGCCCCTGGAGCTCCGGATGACCCCCGACCTCCACTCTTTCCGCCGCGACCTGAAAACGTGGCTGTTTCGTTTGGCCGGCCTGGACTGATGGGGTTTTAATTCTAATTTAATTTTAACTTGTTAGTCTTAATTGTACTTTTAATTGTTAAATTATGAGATTTGGATTTAATTTTTTAACTTTTTATTAGATGTTTCTTAACTGTTGTGAGCCGCCCTGAGTCTGGCTGGAGATAGGGCGGCATGATGATGATGATGATGATGATGATGATGATGATGATGATGATAATAATAATAATAATAATAATAATAATAATAATAATAATATGGTAAGAAAAGTCATAAAATGGGACAAAGCTCACTTAACAAACTTCTCACTTAGCAACATAAATTCTGGGGCCAATTGTGGTCTTAAGTAGAAGACTGCCTGTGTTACTTTCTCCACAATGTTTCCTAAAGTTCTGATACAAAGGAGTCTTCTTGATTCATTCTTCAAGGTGCCATATTCAGTAACAAGGTGTTGTCTCATAAAACAATCGTGTGTGTTAGATTAAGTGCCACTGTAGCTCTTTATAAAGAATAAAGATGAGTTTGTTGGAGAGGAACTGTAACAAGGAAGTACAGCACAATAAAACCTGCAAGATTGATGTCAACCCTGCTATGTAGACCAAGAAAACAGCTCCAGAAGAAGGCTAAATTGAAGCTGGCTATAGTAACCGAATCTTCCAAGTCTGATTGTGTTTTACCTCCCCCTCCTTCTTATAGAAATGCGGTGACTTAGTGGCTAAGACCCTGAGCTTGTCAAGTTTATTTAAATCAAGTTTATTTAAATCAAGCCTTTTTACTAGTGATTTAAATCATGATTTAAATCAATTTAACTTGAATCAAATCCACCCTGCTGTAAATTTACAATAAATGTAATATTAGTACTCATGTGTTGAGTTTCCCGTCCAGACAACAGCATCTCCCACCATTGCCAAGACTGCCTATCAACTAGAAGTCAATGGCCAGTGACCTCATGAGCATCCAAAACAGAGATGGCAAGACGCCATCAACAAAGATATGCAAACTGCGGGACTGCACCCTGGAGACACAGCTGACTGTGCAAAGTAACGCTCAATGATCCAAAAAGCGGACCCTGCACCTGTGGGAATATGCTAGGAAGAAGAAGAAGATGGGTTGGGTTTCCCGTTTGAACTACCTCGAAGGGCCGACGCACTATCCCTTCTTCACAACAAATGGGCAGATAAAGGATTGCTGCTGGATTTTTATCCAGCAGCAAAATTTTATAAATTTTGGAGTTCTTAGTATACTGTAGATGTATACTTTCAGGGTTACGATGGAATCAAATATATCAATCCTGCTATTCCTTTTATTTAGCAGATTTGTACACTTTTCATTTTTTCCTTATCACATCAATTATATCTTGCCACAAAATAGTTAAACAAACTAATGCTCTATCCCTTTCCAGTTTCAAGAATAATTACTTAGATGCCATTCCTTGTTTATTTGTACATTGGAACCAGAGATTTATGGTGTTTGGGAGAACGTTCCAAAAATATCCTGCTTTGGCTTCAAAGAGTTTTTACTTAATTCAGTTGCAATTCACTTAGTTATCCAAAATGTTATAGCAATATAGCATCTCCTTGTATTACTTGTCTTGCAAGCAGTTTTAGATATTTACTGCAGTCCTTTTCTGTCTTTTAATGCTTATAGTTTAATTTTATACTGTACATAATTAAAAGAGTATACTTGAAAATATATCAAATGCATGAATTCATTGTGTGCGCCAAGACCAATAAATTTGATAAATAGAAATTAAATGCACAATCTAAACAAAGCCAAACTAGTCTTAAGCCCCAACGCTTAAACCATTACACAAAAACCCTTATTACCCTTACTAAAAGAACTATGTTAATAACAAATTCTAAAAATGGGCTTTTTTAATCATAACCCAATTCCTACTTCTATTCAATCATTAAAATATTCTGAACTTATACTGAATGGAAAGCAAACTAGTCTGGAGATTATTGTGTGCCGTCTACTTCTGACTAAGCAAAGTAATCTTCTCTCCTGAGCCATTCTTGAAAACTTCTTTCTAATCATGACTTCAAATTATAAATAGGGAAACTTAAAATATATACCTTAGCCAGAATGACAGGATCATATCAATTAAAAACATAGTGTCAACTAATAATGATAGATAGATAGATAGATAGATAGATAGATAGATAGATAGATAGATAGGAGAGAGAGAGAGGGAGGGAGGGAGGGAGAGGTGAGAGGGAGGGAGGGAGGGAGTGTGTGTGTGTGTGTGTGTGTGAGAGAGACAGAGACAGAGACAGAGACAGAGAGAGAGAGAGAGAGAGAGAGAGAGAGAGAGAGAGAGAGGAAGAACAAACAAACTCAATTTCTTTGTACTTACGGAGAAAGTGCTTTTCCAGCAAGGCAATTTCCAAGTGGCCTTTGATCTCATTTAATCTGTCAGACTCTGTTCTGTTGTAATCGGGAACTCCTGTAGCCATGATGACAGTCCCAGGACCAGCCTACGGAGGGAGGGAGGAAGGGGAGGGGGTTATAAGAAAAGAGAGGAGATGCTGGCAGCTCAGAAACCAATCTCTGAAGGAAATTAAAAAAAAGCAACAGCATCCAGACAACCCTCTCACACACACTCCAAAATGAAAATATAAAGGAGTACATAAGCAATGGTTATTTTTATTTACTAGTTACAAGAGCTGGGCAGAGCCACAAACCTTTTGCACAGCATTAGGCTGCTGACATGAATCAATGGAAGCTTATGAAAGGAACTGTATTTCTCTCATAGCGTGTCTCGCATCATTGCGCCTGCTCAGACCTCTACAGCAAATGCTTTGATTTCTGCAGCACGAAACGTCATTATCTAAACTCCGTTCTGATTGGCTAGAAGCCTGCTCCAAATAAGGATCCTTCAGAGTCAATTATGGGCCACGGTTTCAAAAGGGCCATTTAAACAATTACGAAGTCTGTAAACTGAAGTGTGGAGGCACTCAGGATAAATCCTTTCTCAGGCATATGCAAGAAGAGTTTGCAGCACAGGGCAAGGAAGAAGAGAAAGGGGAGCAGGGAGGGTGAGGAGAGGGGGGGGGAAAACTTGTAAGGTTTAAGATTCCTACCACTGTAATATCCTTGAGAGATTAACTTTAAAAAAAAGATACGTAGAGAGAGAGAATAGGACAGATAATGCAGCATTGCAAAGAGATTTATATGCTCATGTAAATTTGGGTACAAATAAAAATAAATTATTGGGGTGTTAATATAAATTAACACCCGTGTTTGTGTGTGCATCAATTTCCAAGCAAGACAGAAGCTATACGGTTGCAGGAACTGGGCATGGCTAGTCTTAGTGAAGAGAAGGACCAGGGGAGACATGATAGCAGTCTTCCAATATTTGAGAGGCTGCCACAGAGAGGAGGGGGGTCAAGCTATTTTCCAAAGCACCTGAAGGCCAGACAAAGAATAATGGCTGGAAACTGAACAAGGATAGATTCAACCTGGAAATGAGAAATTTTCTGACAGTGAGAACAATCAACCGATGGAAAAGCTTGCCTTAAAATCAGGGGTTCTCAAACTACGGCCTCTGGCCTAGATATCTGCAATGAATGTTAGTGTTGCTGCAGAGAGTCTCCCCTTTCGGGATCTTCTTGTGTGGGTCGGAGGGCGGAAGAAATTCTGACTTGGGGATCTGCTTCTGCCTCCTGGTGCGGGGCTTTGGGCAAAGGCTGGAGGGAAGCGCCGTTGGTGGCGAAGAGCCGGAGAGCCTTGTTCCAGTGGGACTGCATCATGGCCTGGAACTGGCTGACCATCTCAGCCCGCTGAGCCTCCAGGTGCCGGTACCTGGCCTTGCACTCCTGCAGGTCTTCCCTCTGCTTGGAAAGCCTATGCTCGTACTCCTCAGTGAGGTGCTTCTGCTGAGCCTCCTTCTCGGTCAGATCCGATTTGAACTGAGCCAGCTGTTTTGCCAATTCTTTCTCCTGGTGACTACTTAGCTCCAACAACTGCTTCCTGTTGGGGCCTTAAGGAGCCCAGGGGGGCAGGCGAGGAGTGGCTGGGATGGGAGGGGCGAGCAGAGGCCGGCGAGGCACCCCTCGACATTGAGTGACATTGAGTTGGCCATGACCACACAGTCACATGACCACCTAGCCATGCCCACCCAGCCGGTCATTAGGCAGATCATATTAGTGGTCCGTGGGATTTTAAATTATGAATTTAGTGGTCCCTGGAGTCCGAACGGTTGGGGACTCCTGGTGTAGACCATTTCTGTAGACCAATGGTGTAGACCTACACCATTTGGTTGGACTAGATGACTTACGAGGTCCCTTCCAACTCTGTTAATCTGTAATTCTGGTTGTAAAAAAAATGCTTTTAAAATCCTCTGACGATCCCAGCTGAGCCGTGCGATCATCAGAGGCTTTTTTTAACTTTTAAAAGCATTTTTTCAGCTGAAGAGGTTGTAGAGGTTTTATTTTTAAAAAAATAAATTAAAAAAAGCCTCTGATGATTGCGTGGCTCAGCTGGGCATGGGGGGGGGATCGGGGGATCCGGTCCGAACCGGGAGCATTTCACCCCTGGAATAGCATATATTTAAGTATAGTGAAGCTTATCTCAGATGCAATGCAAAAACTTCAAATTTAAGAGCTTTTAATTTTATAGTGGGGTATTTTCTTTCGATGCATTCAATATACATATATCTAGAAATTGATCCCTTCCCCCCCCAACTTTGTAGGAATATGAATTCCTATGCAATCCTTTTATTTGCGTCTGTATGTTAAAAAGGAAATCAAAATCACTCCTGTTTTTGTCTTTTTTCTTGTTTTCTGGAAGATTAGCTATGCAACCATCTGTGGAAAATCACATTGTGTCATCAAGAGCTGACCTAACAGTAAATAGGCGGGTAGGTTAGTGTCATTTTGAAAGGCTAAAATTGCACTCCATTATCTGCTCCAATGCTTTTACTGTGTTCTGAGAAATGGCGATACTTCAAAAGCAGCCACTGGGAATCACAAGTATTTCTGCCACTAAAATCAGGGTTAAAAGTACGCAGATTGAGGCACTATCAAAGTAATCTAGACTCAATATAACAGAATATTTCCACAGTCAGTTCTAATCCCCATCCCCTATTAATTACAAGAGGCAATGATTTAATAATAAAAATGATGAAACAAGTTGTATTTTGGGCTTTTATTTTAACCCCAAATTCCTATGTTCCCATCAGTCTGATTTTCTTATTAACACACCCGGCCGCACAAATGGAAAGTCACACTTGCTTAGCACTTATCTTTGTCCCCATAAGATATTAATCTAACTGCACAGTATTTTAGACATGTCAACGCACAGTTCTTAGAAGGTGAAGCAGAAATGACTTTAAATTATAAATGAAGGCAAGGGTTTCACATAATTACTGAGGAAAAGGACATTTAGCATGCCTGTTCAGAAGTAAGTATCCTGGGTTCGGTGCCTTCCCAAGCTAGAATTTTATATTGATTTATCTAGGAGTAGGACTCAAGGAACTCAGTCAAGCTTAATTCTGAGCCAGACTATTTAACAGGAACAATCCGTTCCTCCAGAGTCACCTTCTCTCTTCTAATTTTGAAAACTGCACAACTTATTAATAATTTGAGAAAGGAATCACATAAAAACTGCAATGCAAGCCCTACGTAAAGCTTTATGTAATTAAACCTATGGTTTCTCCCAAGCCTGTAAGTGCTGGCGGAGTTGATCTATTATGGGTTCCTATTACGTAAACAATGTTATCAATCAGGACCCAAACGGGGCCTTGGAGGTGCCCTTTCCATTTAGCTGTCCCAGCCTTTTGAAATAGCCTTCCATCTGAAATTTAAGGGAGTCCTCACCCTTCTAGCCTTTCAGAAGCCATGAGGACCAGGCTCATTACATAAGCATTAGGCTAAAATGGGGGGTTGAGTCAGAAGGTTAATAGTTTGGTTGGTCTGGTGCCTGGTGAAAAGGATTGCTCTGTTTTTATTCTATTGCTTTTATCGATTGTTGTGAGATGAGGTAATGGGTATTGGGAATGGCTTTGGGAGGTAGAAGGAATGGGCCACTACCAAGGCAACACTTAGATTTTTCATTTGTTGAGGTTGGCCCAAAAAATAATGGTTTACATTCCAGGGGTCTAAGGGCCTGGAAGATGTCATCTCCGAGCTACATATAGTTGAAAGCATATAATCTTTCAAAGCTCTTGTAGAACAGAGGAACTACCAGAAAACTCTGGTACTTGATATTGCTCTAATCTACTAAAAGAGGGGAAATGGATCCTGGAAACCATCAACACCAGCTGTCTGCAATTAAAGTAAGATCGAATCTCGCCAAGCTCATGGTTGATTCAGCCTTCCATCCTTTCTAAGATAGGTAAATTGTGGACCCAGTTTGTGGGGGCAATAAGCTGACTTTGTATAAAAATATACAAAAGTATGAAGGCTATTGCTTAACGCCCTGTAAGCCGCCCTGAGTCTCCAGAGAAGGGCGGTATATAAATCAAATTTAAAAAAAACAAAAAAAAACTAGTCAGCTTGACATCAAAACCTAGGAAAATCCTGGGAAAAAATAATCAAGTGGAGAATTTGTGAGGCAATTACAAGAAGAACAAATGGGTTAGTTAAAAGCAGATCATGCCAGACAAATGTTATTGCCTTCTTTGACTAAATTATTGGATCAGGGAAATGCTATGGACATATGTAGTATATTTGGACTTCGGTTAGGCATTTGACAAAATAGACCAGAGCCTACTTCTTGGTGAGAGAACAATGTGGAATAGACAGAACCACCAAGAGATGGATTTGCAGTTGGCTGACCCACACCCAACATGTAGGCTTCGATGGAACCATATCTATAGGGGGAAAGCATGCAGTGGGGCACCTCAAGCTTCATGGGCCCGGTGCTCTTCAACATTATCATAAATGATCTAGATGAGGAGCTATAAAGCGAATTCATCAAACTTGCAGAAATCTCTAAGCTGGGGGGGTAGGGACATTGCTAACAAGATAAACTCAAGATTCAGAAAGAACCTAACAAACTTAAACACTGGGCAACAAGATGCAGTTCAGTGTGAGAAATGTAAGGTCCTGCATCTAGGCATGAAAAACGAAATGCATAGGTATAGAATAGGCAGTAACTGACTCAACAGTAATAACTGAGAGGGGGATCTAGGTGTTTTAGTGAACCACCTAGTATGAGCCAGCAATGTGCTGCAGCTGCCAAAAAATACAATGCAGTTCTAGGCTGTATCAACACAAGGATAGTGTCTTGATCATGAGGAGTGATAATACTGTTTTATACTGCACAAGTGAGGTCACAGAGAAGAGCAACAAAGATGAAAAGGCATCTGGAGGTTAAAACATATGATAAATGGTTAAGGGAACTAGGTAGATCTAGCCTATCAAAGAGAAGAGGCTAACACAGAGAAAAGAGGGCCAAGAGCCTGGTGGCGCAGCAGACTAATAGCCTGTTATTAAATCCAGCTGCCTGCAATTACTGCATGTTCGAATCTCAC